AGAGAGAGAGAGAGAGTGAGAAAACGAGAGTGAGAGTGCGAGAGAAAGAGAGAGAGAGAATGAGAGAAAGCAGCGATTCTGTAAAAACAAGAAAAAGATATACCAGTAATACCTGTACATAGCAAAGTGTGGACAACTACATGATGTAATTAGGTTCCTCCGTTTGTTGTTTGTGAGATTGTACATAATTTATTAAACGATAAGATACACGAGGACGGGAAAGAGAGAAAGGATAAGAGAGAGAATGAGAGAGAACGCGCGAGAGTGACAAAGAACGAGTATTGATTATTATTGACAAAGCTAGTTGCTATAAGATACTTTGTTCTGTAAAAAATGATACAATAATAATATTGTAAAGTTAAAATAATACCAAATATATACCTGGTGTTAAGGCATGTTGGTGGCGAATTAAATGTGCGTTGCGTGAGTATGCAGATTCCTTTCAGAAATGAGTCCACAATTTCCAACACGCGGAAATCGATCGAAAATCTTCAGTTGAGCAGTTATTAAAACTGCTGGATTTTCGAGAATCTCCAATTTGCGAGCTCAAGTAGAAACGGTGGTCGGCGTGTGAACGTGTTTCACCTCCACGATTCTGATTGCGGCACAGAGATTCGCGATCTCCCTCAGAAATAGTCCAAACGCCTCGGCTATCGGTTCGCAGAGATCCCTCAATGACGTGGCGATATTGTAAAGAAGAATTAGTATTGGCTGTATGAGAGCGTTAAACAGAATGGACAGCATTGGTTTCAGAAGGTAATCCGCTAACATTTGAATTAATCCCACTATCAGCGTCCGAATCACACTGTAGAGCACAAAGCGAAGAAGCTGCAGGATAAAAGCTGTGACAAAGGCGATACCGATGTGAATCGTGCCGAAGATTTCCGCCCAAAATCGGGTTGCTGCCTGGTCGGTTTTTTCAGCGCATCTGTCCGTGATTAATACAGGATGGCAGTCGGTCGTTCGATAATATCTACAAAAAATATTATATCCGAATGGTAGCGCATGAAACGAATTGGAGAATAATTTTTATATCTGAGAAAAAAATATTCTCGTCTTAAGAGATTGATACCCACGCGGAGCTTCCATGATCGAAATAGTAGATCTCTATTTTCTCCGCTACTTCTTTCCTCTTCGGTTTTGTTTTCGCCGGATATTTAGGCAATTTCGATTTGTCAGCTTCACATTTGGCATTTTGGCATATATTCGGTATCCCTTCCGGCAGTCCTTCGGAAGACGGATGGAAGACAAAGGATTGAAATTCATTCGGCGGCTGCACCGTGTCGAGATGTTCACGCGCCCCGTTTACACGCATTTTGGCATAGTGAGGACACTGAACCTGTTTCAATTTTATCTCGTACATTTTGTCCCCTTTACCGACACCGTTTCTCGATCGTTTCCGAGTGAAGCGGCTCCAAAACGGACGCGATTGCGGTTTATCTGAAAAGCGCAAGTTTAAACCATCATTGCTCTATTTTCCTTCTTCAACGTATATTTAATCGCGCGACGGACAATGTGGACACAAATCAAGTGGATTTCCATTCTGATCGCGAGATCGCGACGTCTCTATGTACCTTCCTTGATTTTCACAGGCAGAACGTAGCCGTTGCTGGAACGATAAATCCGCTTTGAGAAATGAATCAGCTAACAAGACAAGTCAGGCGCGATGATTACATTTTGTGGCTGTGGCAGGGGCACGGGAAACTTGGTTTAAATCGCGTCGTCGGTGGTTGACTCCTTGGTTTCTCCCGCTGTAGCTGGCGATCCGGTCTTCCTGGGACCGCGGACGGAGTATCGGCTGTTACACAGTAAGTTGCGACTGGCGATGCATCAGGACATTTACAGTCTGTTTCTGCAAGCAGCGACGGAATCGTTCAATAATTAATGATCTTCCTCGACATTTTTGAGAAAGAAAGTTGTCAATAAAAAACGGTTAAAAAAATCTGCTGTCAAAAAAATATTCTATGTGCCTTGATAACATATATAGTTTGCGCTTTTATAAAATGTTTAAAAAAAATATATATATATATAGAGATATACCTTTGGGCTCTTCGACTGCTTCCTCGATCGTTTCAACGCAGACCGCATTTACATCGGAATTTATAGCCGAGGTAGCGTCATCCGAACGCAAGGACGTGAGATTCGATGGTTCTGTATCAGCGCAAGAACAGTCCTCTTCGGTAACCATGTTAAGCGCATTCTTTACGATCAAACATATGAAAAATTAAAGTAACATCAACGTCGAGTAAACACAAACCAAACTATAACACAAACTGAGAATAAAGGCGATAACAAAAGCGACCTATAGTCGTACATTGTCATATTCAAGTCATATCGATTCTTATCTCTTCAAGTAAGTATACCGCAGATATAACTTCAGTACAAAAATTTGAAGTTAGTCATAATGATTAATGCCGAAAAATAAGATATTAAAGGACAGGGTTCAATGAAATTTTTGTTAAACAAAGATCTATTACACAGATTACTGAAGGCTTCACGATATCCACAGAATTTCATCTTGCTTAGGAAAATTATAGAGAACAATTTTATTATCACAAATATAGAAGTCCATTGCAGTCTTAAAAATTGCATGCAATTAAAAAGAAATCCTTTGCAGATTTACCCAAGTTATATCGTAATAAAACACTGCGAGGGAAATAAAAGAGAAAATGTATAGAAGCATATCAATGATGATTTATGATCTTGCTTTTTAGAACAAACGCGACACATATACACACACATACACGCGCGTTGTTTTTTTTTTCGAGTAAAATAAATACTAGACATATTAGACTTTTATTTATATCGAATAAAGCTGGAAGTAGAACAGGATGATTATCATTTAGAAAGATAGTAAATGATGCATTATCATCATGTATACATTGTGTTATAATTCATCAAAAATTTAACAGCAATTCGAACATTCAATGTATGCACGTGTGTTACACATGTTTTTTTTTTTTTCGTATTACTTCACAAATCACAGTAACGGTAAAGGTGTCGCATTGTGAATTATAATTTTATATCTGTAAATTGATGTTTTTTTTTTCTTTTTTGTAAGATATTATATTTTTCTCTATAATCTTAAAATTATCTTTACGGAGCTTAAGAAAATGTAGCGATGTAAGAAACGTGCGTGTGTGTTAATAACATTCATTGTATGTATATATGACATTACCTAACATATATTTTTCGGCTGTAAAAACATGTCATTATTATATTATATTATTTCGCTTGCTTAACGTATTGATACTCATGATTTGTGAGAAGGGAAATCGGTATAATTTACATGAAAATTTGGGCATTGCGCCGAATCATCTTGTTTCATTTATAACGCAAATGAACACGTTATGCGTTCGTTAATCTCACTATTTCACTATCCTCTTCGAATTCAACGAAATTATATCGATTTCGATCCCGATCTGTAAATATTAAATAGTACATGAGAGGAAATCAAAATTAATATAGCTTACTTCGACGCTTAGATCTTCCGAATCGGAAGAGTAATCACAACGCAATAGTTAACAAAATATGTCATTGCTAACATTCGCTACTAATCTCAGTTGGACTAGATTGAGAAGTAAAAGTAATTGATGTGAAATTGATCGAATCAAGCCGCGAATCTGACAAAATAATCCTCCCGACAAACGTAACTATCCGACAAATGATATTATAGTACAATCAGTTTTATCTTTTATATATATATATATATATATATATATATATATATATATATATATATCTATGTATATTGCTATATTTATATATTTTTATAATACACGTATTTTTCACTAATAACATTGACATGGAGTACTCGTTTTGCAATAATTGTGTAATTGCTATGCCAAGTGTATCCATATTAAAACTATTTGTATGTTTCTCAACCTTTTGTACACGAATATTTTTTGTCGTTCTGTACAAGAAATCGGGCGTGAAAATTTATGTAACTAATACAACCAGTAAATCGAACCTAAATTTAAATGTATATTAATGATCTCGAAGACATATTCGCTTAAAAGATAGAAATCCTTACATTAGATTCAATCAATACTAAAATAACATAATTTGTACTTACAAATAAGTATAAAGTACAAATACTTATTTATAGATGCGTCAAATAAAATGCATAATATGTAAATCAGTCATCGAATTGATTACAATTAAAAGGAACAAAAATTTCGTCGATACAATTAGATAGTTTGAACGCACCATGTGCGACATTTCATTTAGCACATTCTTGAATGCACGTTCAGAATAATTTTGATCTGACTACATATACATTTTTATCTATATTAACTATAAATCAAAGCTGTACTCTGCAAATATTCAATCTTTGATCAATTCGTTTTGATACACACTTGAAAGTCATTATACGGAAATTATTTTCCTCTCAAAAAATAACTTTCGGCTTACTCTGTATCAGTCAAAATATAAAATATTTTTATAAACTTAGAAAAATGTATTTTACGTTGCAGTGTACAATTTTAATTTCGATGAATGCATCTAAAAATAATATCTTCTAATATATTTCTTCGTCAATGAACTTATTCAAAATCGAAAAATTTCATAAGATATTCTATAAATTGACATCTTCTACATCCTCGTTATAAAACGCTATCGTTAATCGGAATGTACAAGAAATAATTTTCATTTTTTTCTGCAATAATTTGTACATATAATTTGGAAGTTATCAGGTTGGAGTTAAATGTTAAATTACAATTCAAAATACAAACAGAGCGTTCCCTGTGTTGTATTTAGAACTGAATTAAATAATTTCTTTGTTGCATAACAATACTTTAAACTTACACTTTGCTTAACATATAAAAAGCAATTTTGTGACCTAAACGTTTTGACAAGATATGCTTGATATAAATATGCTATAGTTCTTAAATAATATTATGAATAATTTGTAATATTAATTTGTAATCGCAAGTATCGCATTATTATTATTATTATTATAAATATTACATTTTAGTAGCAACAGTAACCAATATGAATAGTAGTTGATCTCAACAGAAATTTATGATGTCGAGTACACATAAATGCATTTCAAGAAGCATAACATGGCACTTAAGTCAGGTAAAATCTCTTACAGATACGAACAATATAGACTAAAACAGTATAAATAGCTGTTATGCAGTTTGCTTATTTTTGGCTATAATTTTACTGCACAGCATTTGATTTTCTTACGCGTTCCTAATTTGCACGATTTATACACATTTATATAGCAATGTCATATAGGCCCCACATCTTTGTTATTTATTTCGCTTTTGCATCTTTTAAATTTTGTATTATTCACAAGTTTAGTTAATCTTTGTATGCGAAGGAATTTTGGTATTATTTTATATTTTTATGCATATTGATTTATTTTTTTTTAATTACGAATTCAAGGATAAACGCATAGACATTCCTTGAATGCTTATATCAAAGAGAAATATATAGATTTTCAATTATTCTCTCGATTAAAATAACAGCAATCGTAGTTATCTTGTAGATTAAGTATTTTTAGATTATTTATTAGAGGTATCAGATTTATAAATTCATTCATTATGAATAGTATGTACTTTCAAACTCTAAGTGCGTTTACTTCTTGAAGAGGCAAATATTTAATAAATTAATTATTACTCATGAATCATGATAATGAAATCAGATGTGGAATGTCGGTAAATATATGAACGCGATTTAAGATAAATGATTAATATTTACAATATATGTTTAATGTAAAGAATAGTTATATTTTATAGTGGTAAAGAAACCTTAATATCAGAAATACCAAAAGGATGATCGATAATTGAAATAATCAAGGATATAATAATTCTCTCCAATTTCCATGTTAAAGATCCTTTAATTTTCAATTTCTTTACGTTTCTATTTTTCGCGATTCAAATAATAATAGAAACTTATTCTTCTTTCTTTATCGTTTTTTATGTTTGGGCAATAAAGATTTAATTGATGAAGTATTTGTGCATTTGTATTCTTTCATCGACAGCTTTAAGTAGAGTAAAGTAGAGATGGGATATGCATACTCGCAATATAACAATCTTTTACGTACAAGTCGAAAGATTGTTATTCAGCGAACGATGTATAGTAGAGCTGTTTAGAAAGTATGAACTATATCGCATCGTCGTGTATGCATAATTACTGCCGTACTGGAAAATCACTTACATGTTCGTGGCAACTCTTTGATAGCCCAAGGAATACGCGTCAGGCATAAGTGATATGATGTATGTAAGTGTGTACAATTAGCTTCTCATGGCTGCTTACCGAATTCTAAACATATTGAAAATTATCTTTCTGTGCGAGCAAAGGTAACTTCTCGATACTTTGCTTGAGATCAAAACTATGCAACCAGTCCGAGCTAGGTTTCGCCTTCACCCCGCAAAAGCTAAAGTTACAGAAATCAGCGGCATTCTGCAGAGCACCGCGATGGAACGGGTTCCCCTGCTTGAAATGTTTGTAACGGCCAGCATTCATACGTTCGTTCGTTGTCATCCCCAAGACCATAATCTGCAAAAAATATTATTGTATTATACATATATTCACGACAAAATAATATTCAAAATTCAAATTTTCTCATTCTCGTGATAATTCATTATATATATATATATAATGAATATTGTAATTTTATTACATATACTGTTACACACACACACACACACACACACACACACACACACACACACACACACAGAGAGAGAGAGAGAGAGAGAGAGAGAGAGAGAGAGAGAGAGTAGAGAGAGAGTAGTGTGTGTGTGTGTGT